CTCGTTGTGCTGGTCCACGGTCAATCGGGGGATTGCATCGATGAGGATGGTGTGGAATTGGCCTCGTGGAATCTCGGGGTGGTTTTTTCATCCGCAAAGACTCCAAGGCGTTGGCAACAAAACGTGGTAAGAAAAGAGCAAGGCCTAACCCGTCCTTTGAGTTGGACTCGCTTTTTGTTACAACTCATGAGTTACAATCCGAATCAAACACCCTTGTCTTACTCCCTTTTTTGGACCAATCCGGATTTTCTGTTTGACTAATCCTATGACAGTTCCTCATGTGTGGCCGGCGACCAATGTCAGCGTATTTCGGAGTCCCCCCACGGTGCGAGAAAACCCGTCGGCAGAGAACTGAGGTGCTGCAAATTGCGTTGTAGTCATCCGCCGCCAAGTGCCTCTCACACAAGTCACTGAAGGCGAACCTGGCAACACCTGGCCGAGGCGGAGAGGGACAAGACTGGGGCAGGTGAGAATGCTCAGCAGGTGCAAGAATGCGTGAAGTACTTGGCACCTCCACAAATCGAGATCACTGGCACAGGCATCGTCCTGCTGTAGGCCACCTGCAGCGCGAACATCTTTCCCCACAACTCTGAAGATTAGGGGATGAGTTCTCAAGTTGCTGAAGCCCTAAGCTCACCCTTTCATTCTGAACGAAGCTGATCTGAATGTTCCCGTCATCCAATTGAAACATTTAATCATAACGGCACGATGGCCTGAAACCAACATGATCCCAACATGTAGCACCTGGGCAAAACAAGTCTTTTAAGCCAGGAGGTAGATTCACAATGATTCACATGATTCACTGTATTTTGTCCAACTAGTATCAACTAGTTAGGTCAGTTCAAAGGTTCCAAGTCGCCTGCCTCCACTTGCCCAGCCGCGCCGGTGTTCGCGATCTTCTGAAACCAGGAGTCTACAAAGTCTGGGCGTGGTGGCCAGCAAAAGACGCCTACGCAGGAGTCGAACGACTATATATAGATGGAGGGTGGATCCAATGGAGAACTCACTGTAGACGTGGTCGGAACGACTATAGATTCCTGGTGGATTACCCGCTGAAACGTTTGACCGATGCGATCCAGGTCGATTCGGTCAAAAGCATCGAACCCTTTCCGAAGCGAAACGGTTTTGATGAGGAAGAACAGCCAAAACAAGAATCAAGACCCTCCCGGGCCCTCCCAGTGCCTGCATCGGGGCTGTTTTCATACTGCATCGCACGATAATCGGTCTGGTTCCTTAGGTCTGAAGGTGAGGGTCTTGACGGACCACAGCTCTCATAGGCTGTCCCCAAGATACAAAAAGCTGGAAGCTAAGTTGAAGGTTCCGCATCTCACCTTCTTGCATTCCAAGGCTCTGCATGTGATGAACTTTGCAATTCTCATTCAGTAGCTGCAAGAACGGTGGAAGGTAAACCTGCCTGAGGCCAGAAGCCCCGCCGTAAACGGCGGAGCCGTTTCATGCGAATCTCCATGGCACGGCTACAATCGGCTCCCAAATGATAAACCCCCCAAGAAAAAGTAGATGTCACAAGTGAGTTTCCCAGGAGTGTTGCTCCGAGATGGGCTTCACCATCCATATTCATCCACATCTACGTCCCACCTGTTCAGGCCATCGGAGTAAAGCTCCTCCGGCGCCCGGTTGGAGGTGGCGATGATCGTCACACCACGCCTCAGGCGCGGTCAGCAGACCCGTGAGGTCCGCGACCTCTTTGGGGCGACCTCTTTGTTTGACTTACCTATGCCAAACGAGACTACTTCACTAATTTACTTGGCGATCTTGAGGACGGCCCTATGTTTTGAAACTACTGTAACTATCTGTACAGTAACTACTTTTGATGAACAGGAAGAAGAAAGATTGCTGCTTCACTGACGACCGGTGAACCTGAAGAGCGCGTTGAACAAGGGCAGCAAAATGCAGCAGTCCTGCATCAACTGACAGTCTGGCAGACCTGGACTAATCTTGCAAGTAGGTTGAAAGAATAAGACACATCTCAGCAGCTCTTGGATCGTGTTGTTTTCAGGCTCCTGGATCGTTGTCACTGCCTTGCACAGGCCAAGGATGCCAGGACTTTCGCAAAGAATTGTCTGTTCAGCACTGAAAATTTACAGTAGGCAGCTCCGAACTTCAACAAACTGCACATTGATTTGTGGAATTGGTTGGAATCAATGGCATTTCTGATGCTGCTCAAGACTGGAAGGTGTGCAACTGCTGCCAAGGCTCAAATTCATCGAAGCACAGCCTAAGAGGTCTTCTAGAAAGAATCCAGTGATATGTGCATACAAAAACAGAAACAGTATTACAAAGACCCTCGCATCCAAGGGGCACATCCACTGAATCTGCAATCCGCTCTCCAGCACGTTGCACTCCCAGTCCAGTCTGAACACCGCCCTTGTCCTCGACATGAACGTCCGCAGTGGATGGAAGATCCACGACATGGCCAAATGCAGCACCACGCTTCAAACCCTGGGACATTCACCCACCATCCTCCGCTAAAACCACTAGTGGCAACCTTCCAAAGTCCATGACCTTGGCAACCCTAGTAGTGATCTTCCCTGGTCTTCCAACGAACCACTTCGCAAGTAGCTTTCGCTGCCGGCTGCTTTCCTTGCAGAGCTTTCAAATTTTCAAGCTACCGGAGATGGCCCGGACGGCCACTGAAACCCAGGTCCTCGCTCTTGATCTTGTGAAGTAAGCGTTGAATTTCATAGAGGAACTCATGGAAGTGCTTCCTGCACACGAGACACAGCGCACCGGACGGTGGCCTTTTTGCAGAGACGTTGACAAAAACTTCGTACACAAGGTTCTCCAACACCTAGCAGGTTCCAGACCACGAGCGACGGTCAAGAAAATGCTTAACAATGGGGATCGGCATGCCTGGTACTGCCACCTCTACTCTCCGCCCTTGCCCGAACCTCTGCACACGCAAGGATGGGTGGCTCTTCAAGGCTGAGAAGAAGATGTCCATCGACATTGTCTTCCCACAGCCCACGCTGCCATACCTGGATGAAGGCATTTCTTATGTCCAAAAAGCAGACACAGCAGCACAAGGCTACTCGTTGGCTACACAGGGCAACCTCGTTGGGAACTTCTTTGGGCTGCTTCTTTGGCAAGGTGCAGATACAAGCCTTTGGAGGTTCGCTTTGGAGCGCCAAAGTAGATGGCATTCAAAATCTGCAAGACCCTCCTGGTGGATCAACATACACAAGGACACCCGTGTGAGGGTCCGAGAACAGTCAACACGCATTCTTGCTCTTGAAGATCTCCCATCTCAAGAACTGTCTCGAAACAAGTCTCGCATTGATTCCCATAAGAATCCAGTGAGTCCATCATCTCTGCTTCTTGCCCCGTCCAGGGCCGTCCATTGGGTTTAGGCCGGGGCCGAAAAAGAAAAGAACCGCCGTCCTCTGCTCGTCGTCGTCGCGCAGCTGCCCCTTGGTGATCAAGGTGTCAAACAAGGCCAGGGGTCCTGACGACTTGGCATCGGGCGCCGGGTCCGTCGCCCAGGAACGACGACGAAGTAAACTGCTTTTGGAAGGCAAGGGCCTGGAGAACTTGGGCGAGGTAGGGGGTCCCTATGTCCAAAGACACATGAACCAGTACCATGACAGCTTGGAATTTGGCAAAGAGTCTTTCTCCATGTGAGTCCGGCTACACTTCTACCAAAGGAGTAGAAAGAACTGGGGCTTCGTGCAGAAGGTGTCCGATGCGATGGATAAGATTACCATGTTTGGCGGCTCACAACCAATGATTGAGGATTCCTCTTTGGGGGAACAAGGAGACGGCCAATGGCGACAAGAGGGGCATAAACGGCCCGTTCCAACACAAGTGAATGTCATCATCCAACCATATCCAACTGTCGAGACTGCCCATGGTAAAAGGATGCAAAAAGGAATTTCCAACATATCTCATCATATATAACCTATGACCTGCAATCCAGTTATATATATTTGTTGTTCAAGCTTGCAAACCAGGGTTCTGTGTTTACGCGCAGCGCTGCAGCAAAATCAAGCAAAAAGGTGGAGGCCATCGCTACTAGGGTGGAGGCCATTACTACTAGTAGCAAGGACGCTACGTACTAGTAACAATCTTCGTTCAGCTCCACTCAGCTAAGCTCCACTCGGCTCCTTCAGTTCTGGCAATGGCAGCCGTCTCCTGAAAGCAACGACGCCGTCTCGTGAAGAGATGATCTTTGCAGAATCAACGTGCAGCAGCGCAACTGGGGCAGCCTGTCCTGCTCCAGATGGAACTTGAGCTTGGAGTCCTCACTCTGCTTGGTCCCCACCAGTCCTTGCGCCATTCATTCAGCCCATTCACGCATGTGCAACGGCAAAGCACGGCTAATGGTCCTCTGACTCCACCAGGAAAAATGCATCTGCGCCTTGGAGAAGTTCTGCCAGAACTTCACTAACTTCACTGAGAAATTTCTGCTAAGGTGCGCCAGTCTTTGACAGGCGATCTGCTGCCACCGCACGAGCATGGAAAACAGGCCTGGCATCCATGAAAGCAGCTGTTCGCATGAAACGAATCCAAATTCTCTCTTGAAGCAAAGAGATTTCAGTGACTGTTCATACTGTCAGATTGTCAGACCTAAGCCTCTGTAACCGTGATTCCATGCTGCAGCAGGCATCATGACAATCCCTGCTTGCGCACCTCGAGCAACAGCGCAAAGGATCTATACACTCAAAACCTTGAGCCATTTAGAGTTGATGCAAAGCATGCAACTTTCACGTAGCTTGTGGTGTTTGACGTCCTCATCCGTTCTGACTCCAGATCTGCAACACAGTAAGACACTTACCCAGCGGATCTTCTATGCACCCCTCCACCTGTGTTTATTTCCATTTAATTCCACCTGCTTCAGCGAAACAAACGTCCGCTTTGGTCTCAAAGCACCAAGAATCTCGAACTCAGAAAGGGTTCTACCGGTTCTACCAATGAAACCCAGGGCTTTCCGGAGGTCCCTCCTTCGGTTCGCACACCACCATCCTTTGGGTCACCGCGGTCGCCTCCGGACCATCCGTGAGCACCACCTGGACAGCGGAGCCGCTCGAGCCGCTCTCCGCCCGGCCAAGCGCGGCTCGGCGCTGAGCGGCGGCCGCAAGCCCGGCCTCTCGTGCTTGGGACTGTGGAACTGAGATGTTGACAAAGGCAAGGCCGGGCAGACCTGTCAAAAGGCAAGAAGTACAAGTGGAAAGGATTTAGTCACAACTTTTGGGGCCGTCTTCTCAAGAGGCATGTCGCTCCCGGAAGCTCTTCTATTGCCAAAATGTGTTTGATCAGTTTGATTGCATTAAACCCTGAAGATCTTGATTCCTGTATGGCGAGCAAACAGAAAGGCTATCGGTCAGCGGTGCTGGGCTCTGAGGGATCTCTAGTTTTGCTTCAAAAGGCAGCTCGATTCATTCCATGGTGCTTTACCACATTCAGCATTGATCGAGATATGTTACAGCCAGAACACCTGCTTGTTTCCGCCATCTTGACCTCTCTAAAATTCTTCCAACCTCCTGTCCCACCTGTGAATCCTCGCTTCTTTCCGACCCCAAAAATAGTGTACCAACTCCCACCCCCCCCTCCGGCGATTCGTCCGCGATGCTTCGGCGCCCCCGTCTGCAGCCAGGAGGCCAAGCCGCAGCCCGCGCCGATCTCCAGGATCACCTGGGCCTCCAAGGCGCGGTGTTCGGAACCCAAGTGCTCCGCCAAGGCCAAAGCCTGGCGTCAACTGCACACATTCGAGCAGAGTAGAGACATGGGGGATGGGTTGGCACGGAGAATGGCAATTGACTCAATGGACACGATATGGACACGTTCTGCCAGGTGTCCCACCGTCCCACCGTTCTCGTTCAATGACCCCAGGCAACAAAACAGGCCGGGGCGCACGCCGCGCCATACGAGACCACCTGGACTGGGCAAGTGCAGATGTGTGCAAATGAATGGATTCACCCCAACTTAATCTGGGTTTGGCGAGGGAAGTCTCTTCCCATACTCATGTGTTTCTGCGTTTTATGTCAGTCGGGGTCTCATTGATTTATCGAAAGTTGGGTGTTTTGCAGTTATAAACTGCTTGTCAAGATATATAACCTGATACAAGTAATTATCGATGCACCACAGGAAGCTGACCAAAAAGGCTGTGCAAGCACTAAAACACTTTCACACCCAAAAATTGTCATGAAATCTCAGGTTCGAATCAGGTTGGTCAGAGTTTGAAACTTCCTACCCCAAGAAGCACTCACAACATCTCACAACTGTCCAAAGCGAGATCGAACTCGACCTGTGATCACCCGCGGCCACCTGTACCCCCAACACCCGAGCACGGATGGGCCGAGTAGGGAAATTCCTGGAGTTGGCAACTTTTGCTGTTGAACGCACCGATGCTGAAAAAGGATTCGCAGTGCTTGCCCGAAAAACTGGGAATTGCATTCGGAATCTCATCAATCTCATCTCTGGAAGACAGACCTGTGCCTACCACCTGTCTCAATACTCACCAACTCGAGGACCTTGTGTCAACACCCCTCTCCTGAATGAGAACCTCTGGCGTTGCGGGCGATGAACCGCACGTGTACCTCACAAAACAGCTTGCAAGTGCCAAGGCATGTGACACCAAGTGCTAAAGCGGGGTGTTCTTACTGAACATGACTGCAATCTAGTGCTGATTGAGAGCCATGAAGTTGGATTGCAGGGACCTTTTTCCGCCTTCGGCACGGCTTCGAACAACGGTTGTACCGGGTCGCTCCACCTGCCACCGTCGTCCTGTCCGCGCACGAGCGGGTGACTCGTAGAACACCGTCCTGCCACGACCTGAGGCAAACCGGCAGCCAACCGCTCCATTTAGAAGCTGTGATTTAATAGCTTCTCGTTACTACTAGTAAGGCACTTGTTACTAGTAGCGATGCACTTGCTCCTAGTAGCTTCTTGTTACTACTTGCTAAAAAGATGGTGCATCAAAGTGTCAAGGCTTCAAATGTCAAATGTAAAGAGAAATTCGCTCCCAGCCATGTCTTCGTCCCAGGCACCGCTCCAGGCAGTCTCCCCATGGCAAGTCACTGTCTCCTCCGGCTCGGCTGCCGGTCTTCCGGTCACGGCCCAGTTTGGAGAGTTTCTTCTGTTGGGTCGATGGCTGGTGAAAGCAGAAAGAAATACACAAAGACATTGACATCAAAAAGGATAAACAGAAAGAGGATCTCTCATGTCTGCCCAACAAAAATCACTTTGCCCTTGATGGCCCTGTTGAACACGCACCACATGGACCATAAGCAAATGAGCAAATCCCACCTGTTTCGGCCTTTCTTCGAAGCTCTGAAAGGATTTCATCTGCTTCCTGGAATTCTGCCTCCTGGTGCAGGCCCCGAAGGGACGACGTGGCTTTCAGGAGCTCAGCAGCGAGCTTTTCCAGAAGAAAAGTACACTGTGCTTTGGTGTCCGGAGTGTCCTTCCTTTTTACTCCAAACAGGATCGTTGCAAAGGTTCGGAACATCTTCCAAAAGGTCGTATTGACAAAGGATCCCAAGCTAATGACTTCCAAGTCACGATGACTTCCAAGTCACTGGGAGATGTTCGCAAGTCACGGTGAGAAGTCCCGGTTTTGGCGATCCTCCGGCGTCCAAGCCATAGAACTTTCACGTCAGATCATTACAGCAAATTGATGGATCCCTCTCATGTGTTCTTGATATATAGAAGCTTATGAAACTGAATGAGCCAGATATTCTATGATGGCTCTTCGGATGCCTTGGAGGGCTCAACTACAAGTTGGCCATTGGTGGATGATCAGAAAAGGAGCTGACCAGTAGAGCTGACTACAAGCTGACCTTGGTGGCTGCCTTGGTTGACAGAAAACTGCTGCAGCGCCTTTGCGACTCCATGACCAAGTGACGATGTGAGAACCTCCGACCTCGATCTCGGAACGATCGACCTGTTCGCTTCAGGTCAACGACAAAGGATTTTGTGTCGGCCACATGTGCCCCACCCAAGCACACAAGTCATCAACCACTCGATCACCATCTGACCATTCAACTGACTTTTACACAACCGATGCTCAGATCCTTAAACCTTTGGAAGCGCTTCCTTTTCACCGAGTGGCCACGGCTGCGCTCTATGGGATTGTCTTTGATCGCTGGAGCTCTTCGTGAGGTCAAAAGATCTCTGATGTCTCGGATCCCATAGAGCCGTCGTCTCGGATCCCACCGTTGTCTCTTTGCTCTTTTGGCAAAGGAAGTCGGCGGGATTGGATCTTTGTACATCAAGCATTCGGATAGCCACCGAAGACCTGCACAGAGGTGCAACACATGTTTGCCAAGCTGCATAGAGTTCCGCAACTGAACCTCAAGGAAAAATGCTGGATCAGGCCTGAGAAACCAAATGTGGCTGCGCTGGCTTTGGTGCTGCCACCCGTGCCAAGGCCTTTCAAGGCCGTGTGAAGAATGAGACCTCTCTTGACGTCAAACAGCTCAAAATGTCACAAAATTCGCTGCAAATTCATGTCCAATCCCATGTTACACAGAGACTTCTGTCCCTCCAACCGCTTTGCTCCAATCCCAACAAAAATCCGGTCTCAACCTTGCGGGCCCAACATGCGCCTCTTGGCCCGCTTTTGTGGAGTAGAGGCCAGCGGCCTGCAGGGCAGCCGAGAGCTTGTACCGGGCATCCGCCATCAAGCGCTGTTCATCGAAGCCAGCCGCCGGCCTCAAAGGCTGCAGGATGAAAACAGCTTATTTAAGGTCAGGGAACTGATCTATGTTTTCTAGGCTATGATTTGATGGACTTGTTACTTACTACTAGTAAGTAGCAACTCCATCATAGCCTTAGTTACAGATTCCAGAGAGCCTTTATGATCCGAGAGTTGTGGCTGAATCTGGTTGCCACTCTTTGCGGGGCAACCATTCCGAACTAGACTTAGAGACTTAGAGTCTAAGAGCAAGACCCCCGGGTGACGCAAACCAGCGGATCGCTGTAGGCTTCCGCAGTGTGTCTCTCCGGCACCTGGCCAAGACCGCTCCACGGTGCTCGTCCACGGCGGTCCGCCGCCGCGACAGACGCGCAGCCACGCACCTTGTGGAGGCGCTGCAGGTCTCTGGGCGCCTCGACTTTGAGGTGATCCTGGCCGACAGAGTGACGCCCGGCCAGAGCCGTCGGTCCAAAAGGCAAGATTGATTGAAGATGAATGAATGCGAACCGTCCACAGGTTTGGGGTTCCGTCTTGACACGTGTCAAGCTCCAATTTTCTGACTCATCAAGGAAGGAAAGAGTCAATTAACATGCAAGGGTCACTAAGGCTCTTTGCAATGCCATCTGTCGCTCCAGCTGCTCTTGCTCCAAAGCCGCACGTTTCTGTGCGACCTGAGCCACAACAAAATGTCCTCTTTCTCTGTGTTTCAAAGCAGAAGATCCCACCTCTTTCCGCTTCAGCTCGTCCAACTGCCTCAAAGCAGATAAGAACGAGAAAGTGTGCAACCTTTTTGCAAAAGCATGAGGTGTTCAAGACACTTCAACAACTCGAAAATGAAAACAAAATAGACACTTCACACATTGCAGGGCATTCAGCAGATGTTGTAGACCCATGTCAGCCCATGCCTCCTCATTTCGACCATGCGGGCATTTCGCGCCATGCGGGCAATGCGTTCCTGGCACAATCTGGCATACATCGGTCGTTCCCTTGCCAGTCGTGCATCTCTCAGGCGAAGTAAGTGCACCTGTTGGCTCAATTACATCGCCCAAAGCCATGATATTAGATCACAAGTCATATTGATCCAAGAATTGGCCACAGTTGGTTCCGGTCTGATAGACGAAAAGGCTGATCAAGTTTGGGAATTCAATTCGTAGCAAAGACATGAGCGACGCGAGGGCCGAACAACGGATCTGTATGACACTTACGAAACCTTCATGCTTGGCGCCTCAGCCTCTTTCTGCTCGCGGAGAGCAGCATCCTCCTGCAAGTCTTATTCTGTTTGTCTGCAAAAAGTGGGAAGCCTTGAAGCTTGCTAAAGACTAGTTAAAGACACGTGTCAAATTCTCTCATTCGACTGGTTTTTGCGCTCAAAAGTTCCTTGTCCCGCTGCTGCTGCTCCCGTCGCCTCAGGTCCCACTCGGCCCGTCGACGCCCGTCCCCAAACGAAAGCTTCCAACTCGTAGAGGGGCACATCCGAATCCAACTAGTAACAAGTGCCTTACTAGTAGTAACAAAAAGCTATTAGAAACAAGTGCCACGCTAGTAGTAACAAGTGCCACGCTACTAGTAACAAGTGCCTTACTAGTATATACGCTCCTAATAGCGATGCCCTTTGTTCCTAGTGGCGTCCTTGCAGTATTGAGGCCATGAGCCCCTAGTAGCTTCTTGCTCCTAATTAGAGCCGGGATGGACGCCTCCTGGGCCGATCCTTTCCTTTTTTTCACTTGACGGCCCCGGCTGCTCGTTGAAGTTGCGGCTGAGTTGACGAACCTCGCCATGCCAGGCAATCTGAAACAAGTGGCGTGTGTCGCGGCCATCTCTTGCAAAGCAGAATCAAATCATCGAGACAGAGGGCAGTGACGGTATGCATGGCTTGATGATGCCTGATGTGTGCTTCATCGTGTCGGCAAACTGCACACACGTGTGTGCTTCTTTGTTGTGTCGTTCTTGAAGAAAACGAGTTCAAGAATTACTCGGATCTGATATTTGGATGGTTGTCCGCGCCCCAAAGGAGGAAGCGCCTCTGAGGTACAGCCCCAATCCACTGTGCGCTGCGGCTGTGCCCCCGTTTGTCCTGGGGAGCCGAACCACTTCCGCGCGCTTCTGTAGCTTCTGCTCCTTCTCGGCCTGATCAAAAAAGAACCAAAACCATGAAGCAGATGGCCGTAGGGGTTCCGTTCCCCTCCACCTGGAGAGCTTGCTGCCGCTGTTGTTCCTCGCTCTGCTCCAATTCACGCTCCTTTCAACGGGCAGATTGGGCAGGGCAGCTGGCGTGTGTGTTCACGACCCGACGCTTCAACCCGCATCTACCACAATAGCAACAGAAAAGAAACAAAAGTTGACTGCCTGATCGGCTTGGATGACCGTCCTGGTATTATGTATCTTGTAGATCTCTTCATGTAAAGAAACGACACCAGGTCAATCGGCAGCCTTTTTCGAGAACGAGCTACCTTTGAGCTCATCCACGACCTCCAGAGCCCAAGCTTTTGGGGCTCGCGTCAACGGTTTCTCCCTCAACGGAAGTTCTGCCTTCCTCACTTACCATCCATATGCGGAAGCATCGGCAAAGGAAAAGAGTCTGCGACCTCAGCGACGTGTGTGTGTGTGTACCCCTTGGAATCAAAGGGATCCTGTAGGATTGCTTTTGACTTTTTAATTGCAGGGGGCACGCGGCCATCACGCAAACGCATGCCAACGAAGCTATGCGTGATGGTGGAAGCCAGGTCTGATCAACCTGGTGTACCTGCTTGTTCGAACTGTTGTCCAAGTTACTCCACTTCTTCCTGTAAAGTGCTAGTGAGTTCTGCAGAGGTGCACGGACCGTCGTCCTTGTCGATCGATCGTTTCGCGGCTTTGCAATTTGTAACCTTCACCTTTGGAGGTTTGAGCATTGGGAGTTGGGGAGATCTGAACCCTGTTTCCTTAGGCTTTTCACTTAGGCTGGCGTGTGTCACCGCATTCACATCAGTACGCATTTCTATAAGTGTGTGGCGGATGGTGATTCTTTCCCCATATAGAGACAGCTTTTCAGCTTTTCCTTCCAAATGACATGGGAATGTTGCACGAGTATTCCTGCAAAATAGGCTTAGGTGAGCATTTGTTATCAGCATTTGTTATTACTCACATTCTAGTTAGTGAGTTCCCTCTTCCTCGTCTTCCTTTTCCTCGTCTTCCCAAAAACGGCCATCAGCCAGGTTACGCTCCCAGTTTCCGGGAGCCCATAGATGATCTTCGCCTCGTTTGGGCGACAAAACGACACTCTAACGCACTGACGAGTGACTCACTGAGTCATTCACCTAGTCTATGAGAACAGTTACAACTGTCTGATGTGATAAAAAGATGGTGCAACGGATGCCACAAGGCAAACTTCGCCATCCGTGCATCAGCTCTTCCAGCCTTGCTCCCACGCATATGACTAGCCTGCCATGCCATGTCTCAAAAGCAGAATAGTTTCACATCTCTATTCAGGAACACAAGTCAAATGCTAATCCCTGATTGCATAGGCAAGTTGTGCTTTAGTCAAAGCTTGTCTCAGAAGAGCACTTGTCTTTGATTCCATCTTATGATTTGACTCTTGGCTTGTCAAGAACGTCTTCCGGCCTTTTTGATCTGTTGACGGATGAAGAGAGCCTCCACTGCCGGAGGTGTGTACAAGGAGACAAACGGTGAACAAAAGCATGACAAGCGGTGAGATGAATAGTAGCTAGGACGCTATTAGGTGGAGGCCATCCCCAGTAGGTTGGAGGCCATCCCTAGCAGGTTGGAGGCCATCGCTAGTAGGTTGGAGGCCATCGTTACTAGTAACAAGAAGCTACTGCCGCATCAGAATCAATTCTGGGATGTCACCATCACCAGGCTATCCAGTCAAGCATGGAACAGGTGAACCTTGAAAGCTGGCATCTTGGAGATTCACCAACAGTTCACTTCAAGACCATAGCTTGGGGGATTTTAGGGCCATCACGAAGACCGATCCTCCTCAAAAAACCTTTCCTTATCCCTTGCCTGCGCCCCAAGCGCCCCAAGCACGATGGTACATAGAAGAAAGATACCAGTACCCAAGACTGCAATCAAATGGTGTACAGGCAGTAACATTGTAGAGATGCAATTTGCCTCTTTAAAGAAGTCACCGAGGCAACATCATATGAAGTCTTCCGAATCCGCCAGTTGATCAACACTTCACGCCACCTTCTCAAGACGTCGCGCAACGGTCTTGGCATCACCCTGCAGCTGCAGCAAGCGCCTTAAGTATTGCCCATTGCCTTTTGGGAGACCCTCTGGAACCCTGTGTGTTTCGAAGTGCCCAAGGGCCCAAGGATCAAAAGGATTCCCAGCTCCCCCCTCCCCGCACCCCTAAGCCACATCTTGCCCTTCGGTTCAAGGAAAGTTTGCTCAACCCAAAGACCGTGACACAGGTCGTTAGTGCTCAGGAACCCTCTTTACTACAGTAAGCCTCTAGGACTCTAGGAGTTTGGGAGTTTTCGTGATAGTACAATGTTTCAGTGGACATGTACCAAATGGCTAGAGAATTGACATGATCTTGTGATTCCAAAACCATGGAAGCTCTTCTCTATTCATTCCGGTCACGGCCAAGACACCCATGCATGTGCCGCACGGCCACCGACATGGATTCTTCTCGCTCCTCGATGCGAGCCTCAAGACAGGTGGTCGATGATCCAACTTCGCTTCCTCCGCTGCCATCATGTTCAACGTCAGCGTAGCAAACCGCAGAAGAAACTAACCACTGGCATAAGAAAACCGCTGGGTTAAGATCGAGTAGCACGCGACGCAATGTAGACTCTTTTAGGGGGTAGTCTACACGCATGAGAAGATTTATGCTCGTTGCCATTCTCCCTTGAAAGCGACGATCGAAAACGACCGTGACAGGAGGATGCTCTCGGCCCGGGCGCCAAAACGAACCGGCCGAGCCTGGCGCTTTTCCTGAGCCAAAACGGACCGCTGGGAGCGAGTGAGTGGATTCCACCGATGTGGGACGTGACTCGGACTAGGAAGTTGAGACATGTTGAGACTACTAGTAACAAGAAGCTACTAGGAGCAAAGGGCATCGCTACTAGGAGCAAGGGCGCTACTAGGGGCTCCTGGCCTTACCACTAGGAGCAAGG